CCCCCCCTCTCCTCTGCACCCGCCCCAATGTCTGAAATTGGAATTGCTTCATCGGCATTAAATCACTGTGCGCCTTATTATGGCCGGTCTCAGGCCTGGTTGCTGAGCTGCCACCACCTGTATGCATCATCAGACTCAAAGAGGGGGGGGGGGTCTACTAGCCATGTTTGCGACCGCTGCCATGGCTCCTTTTGACGTTCGCCTCCTGATGCCGCTGCTATGAGTGGTAGAGAGTGACGGGTAGGAAAGGTGACGCGGTGATGGGGGAGTCTGTCAGGCTGGCCCAGCCAGACCCAAGGAGCGAAAGCGGCCTCTGTGTGCCCAAGATCCGACAGGCAGGCAGGTGGAGAGGTTGCCACACACACAGGCAAACACACACACACACGCGGACGTGGGTGCGTGCATTAGAGCAAACTCTGCTCATGTGCCACAGCTCAGCAGCATGGCACCTTATCAACAGAGACCATAGGGCCTCTCTCTGGACCCTTGTAGGGGGTTGGGCCTCCCGGGGTGGTTGCTGCTGGCCCACCACAGCAGAGCAAGGGTCAGCCTATACACTACCATCCTATCGCATGGCCCACGTTGTGCTCCCGGTCGCGTCAGGCCGCTGAAGCGAACACATTTTGCCTGATGGTCGAAGTTTCGCGGTCGCTCCCGAGCAGCATCTCTTGATCTTGATTTCATTTGTGTGTCGTGTTGAGGCTGGTGAGAGGTCGCGGTGGTGTAGGCGCTCTCTTGCCTCACTGCGTCTCATTATATCTCCCGCGCTCCGCCTCGCCTCGTCCCCCGGGTACTGCCGCGCTCGCCCCCCGGCCCGGCCCCTGCTCTAATTGGAGAGGATGGCGAGGAGGCACGGCGCCGCGCGCCCCTGGACCAACAGATTATTTCTCCGTTTTCTTCATTGTGTTTGCGATATTGGGGGGTGAGTGCTTCTCGCCCAGCTATCGCTTCGTCGCCTCGCCTCGCTGACGATGCTGCGCTCTTATTAATAACCGTCGTCGCGATCACAATGGGTCCTCATTTTGGTGTTCATTATCCCAGCGTAAGGATTCATCGGTACTCTATAGTTTTCGTAGTTATATTTCGATAACTTGGTGTTTAGAGAGTAATTTTTATTATCACGTTTTTAGCTGATGATACTTTTTTTTTTTACTCAACTAAAACTACAAAGACATGTTCATGTTCTAACAAATTTTGTATTGTCCCTTAATGCGAGCTTTTAGCTCATGGGACCAATAAGCTGAGGCAATAAATAAATAAACAAGTCATTACAACTTTTTCATATTGCTTGTACTGAGTACTGAGAGCTCTCATGCAGCGAGTGGTATAGTAAAGAGGCAGTATGCATGACGTCATCCAGATGTATAGTGGGCGCGGAAGCGGTCCACCCCCGTCCATCCGTGCCACACAGCCTCAGATCTCCCCTACCCCTTCAAAGCGAGGACTTTTAGGTTCGCCCTATTTGAGTCATATGCGCTGAATTCTCTCTTTAAGAGAGTGTATGAGATTTCCCGGATTTCCCTGACCTCACCCAATTGCACTGAGGGACCTCACCCTCAGACGAGGACCGTAAATTATGACTCAAGTAAGAGTGAGAAAATACAATCTTGCTCTCAGGTGAGTGATATTTTTTGAGTCACTGATCTCGCCCTCCCGAGAGCAAGAAATCTAGACTCTAGCATTTACAAGTGCGTGAACAGTGTGAACGTAATAGTTGAGGCTGTTTGAGGTCGAGCAATAAAGGAGGTTTGCGCGGTGGTGGCTTCCTAGACTTCCTATCCATGCAGACTTTAGCAGACCCTTCTCTCCATCTCTCTCTTCTCTCCATCTCTGTCTTCTCTCCTTTTCTCCCGCCCTTTCACTCTGTCTCTGTCTGCTTGTCTTTGTTTGTCTCTTTCTCTCTCCTTACTACTTCTCCTCGGCACATAGTCCCTGCGTGTGCTTCCACCACGATCAATCAAAGTGGCAGAGTGGAAAGAGTAAAACGAGGGAAGCAGGGGGATGGAGGAGAACTCGGAGGGGAGGGGTTGGTGCAAGCGCTCAGAGAAAAATGTTTTGCCAGCCTGTTTTGGCAAGACTGTGGCGTGGCATAGCGTGCCTCACGGTCGGTGCACGAGGAGCGGCAAAAGGACTTCCGTTTGTGACTGATTTATCCGTCCCTCGGCGGCGCGCCGCGCCACGCACCGTGTCCGGCCAATTACTGGCTCCGCTCCTCCGCTTCCTCCGCTCAGCCATCCGCTCGACTCCAATATCACTGCAAATAAAAGATATAATTGCGCGTTCTGATAGGGCAACTTTTACACTTAAACATTCATACATATGTATCTATGTTGAAATCTTGTGACAGCCCATTTTTTTCTTGTCAAGTAATTCCAAGTCGATAGGAAGTGCTTGTACATTTACACATTTACAATTTTAAATTGTAATTTTACGACACATACATTATGGGAATTTTTCCGCTAAACCTACCGACTATTTTTCACAGTGAAAGGTCTTGTGCAGTTTTGTATTTGTTTTCGCAGGTTAGATAGGGTTTCCTCCCAGCAGCAACAGTCTTTGAACAAAGAAACAATATCGCCTTCGAGTCCAGAGGCAGCCAGTTGCCGGTTCACGGTGGAAATAAGGTCCCAGACACATTAGGGCGCTGGAGCGAGAGGGACCGAACGGAGCGAAGCCCCGTATCTCTGTTTCTACGAAGTACGGCGGCAGAAAGTGTCCCCTCTGAAGGACGTGGCGTCTTCTGAGGAAGAGGGGGAAAGGGGGGTGGCGGTATCGCGTCGAAGCAGTGTAGTCTAATCGCCAATTTGCTTGTTTGTTCCAGGCACAAAGGATTCCTGAAGGACTGCCCGAATGGACTACTTACCGAGCAGGTACGTCGTTGGTGATAAGCAGCCCGAGAGCAACGCACTCTTTGAGCATTGAGTCTTTGTAAATCCGTGGACTTGTGTGCAGTTAATACACTGTAAACGTAAGGACCATGTTTCTCGTTCAAATTCAGTGACTGTTTTTTTGGTTGTTTTTTTTACATTGCCCGTAGTCTCTATTAGAGAACAACGTGATATCTGCATCGCTCAATAAAAGTGACATCGGCTGTTCTGTATCCGTATCCGTATCACTAAAACATCGCGCTGAAACATCTCGGCCACGGTCACTCTTGTTGAACGCCTAATGAATGACTCTAGGGGCGATATTCAATATCGCTCTGTGTGATATTTGCTAATTTAATTTTAAATAACTACTAATTTACAAAAGTAGTTAATGACACAACTCTATCTAGCTGGGACACACGAAAAGATTTGTCACAACGTGAGTGTGTGCGTGCATATGTGTGCTCGTTCGTCCCTACGTGTGCAAGCGGTGACAGCACGCGGGACGTGGGACATTTAAATAATGTGGTTTGGTGAGTCGTTATCCGTCTTTGCGGCGGGAAATGCTTTATCTTGTTGCGTCACAGCGTGGGATGGTGGTGGTGGTGGTGGTGGTAGGAAAAGGAGGAGATGGGAGGCCCAACCCGGCCGGCTACGATACAGCCCTTGTTTCTTGCTCCTCTTTCTTCTCACCCCCCCCCCCTACCCTTTTCCTCTTTCTCTTTCTTTATTTCGCCAACATAATCGAGTGAGTGTCATCCAAGGGGCGATGCGACGCTGCGATAAAGCGCGCTGCTTTGCTCTCTCTCGCTCTCGCTCTCCCTCCCTCTCTCTCGCTCTCGCTCTCCCTCCCTCTCTCTCGTCTTGTCGCTTGCTTGCCTGCCTTGTCGGACCCCGCCCCAGCAGTATGCGGCCCTGGCGGGGCCTGTGCGCGGTGTGACCCGGATTAGTCCCCCCCCCCCTCTCCTACCCCCGCTCGTCCTTCTCGCTCTGATTCACGACAGGGACTACAACAACATAAAGAGGCGGCCCGACCTCTCCGACAGCATTCCTTGACGCCAAACAAGCAGTTCTGATGATGAGGTACGCTCCCCCCGGCATCTGCAGCTGCCCCCCTGGCGCGCCCTCCTCAGCTGCAGCTGCCGGCATAGCTTTCTAATCTGGTCTTGGCTTGGACTGATATACGGCTGCACCTCTGCACGGTAAAAATTATGTCTATTTGTCATAATTTTTTTCAGGAAAAAGGGAAAAATTTGAAAAAATATTCTGATGAATACTCCTTAGATTTTGAGGGGGTCTGCCCTTTTCGATGAGTTTTTCGCAAGCTGCAGAAGTATATCAAAACTTTCCCATTTCCCATCAAAAATTAGAAATTGTTCTGGCCGTGTACAAGCTGGCCTCGTAGCCCAGCCCACTTGGCCTCTACTACAGCTGTGTGACGCAATAGAGAACTCGCCCTGCGTTGGCTCATTAAGACACTGCTGCCGCTGCCACTTCTTTGGCGATGTTATCATCTTCCTGACTGATGAATATCCAAATGTCGCGTCGGGGAAGGAGACTGGGTGAAAAGTTTACTCGTCGCAAAGGAGATATTTAAAACTAACCCGCCACAAAGTTAAATCCCCGTCTGTCTGCTCCTCCAGCGGGGACTTATTCCTACGCACCACAGTTGCGGACTCAGCGGTCGTCCTAGAGAAGGACCATCAGGGCCTCTTGTCATCCTTCTGTCTGAAAGGGGGGCCTTTTAGGTTCGAGATCCACTCGTCACTTTTGTGGAAATTTACAAAATGTTTTGTAATTTCGATTTTCAAAATTTTGTGTGAATCTACGAAAACCCATTGTTGCTCGCAAATAAATTACGTCTATAAGCGTAGCCTGAAATTATACAACTCAAAATTTGAATTTTACGAAACACATCATAGAACATTTTCTTTTAACCCGTACACGTATTTTTCACACGTGTTGATTCTATTTTTTTCGGCTTTGTAGACTACAAATATAGCATGTACTTTGCAATTGCCAAAGCACTCTTTGATGAATGCAAAAAGTACTGATCGTGGCTACATACATATGTCCTACCCCTGCATATCACATTTCCTATTCCCTTCACACCACTGTGAGAAATATATTTGTACAAGTACGATATATTTTGTAATTTGCCAGTTACAATACGAGTCGTACATGTACAACCTCCCACTGTCGCTCGATATTCGATTCCAAGTCGATACATAGGGCTAGTAAATTGTACAATTTTAGATTGTACTTGTACGACTTCTTCCATGGAAAATTTTCCTGTACCCGGTACGACAATTTTTCACAGTGACTGCCTGCAGGTGTGCGCCGCGCCTCGTCACGCCAGAGATGCGGTGATGCTTCGTTGACAGCCCTGTGGCGTAGAAGGAGGGTGACAGGGGGCTGGAGCTGGTAGGGAAGGAGGCTTGGAATCATCGTTAAAAACAGGGGTCCATAACTTAACATTTAAGCTAAACGTTATGATCAATATCTCGCGTTATTGACTAGTTAAAAGCGTTATGCATATAAAGAAATTGCAGAAATGTGCAGGGGAATAAGTCATAAGATCGATAACGCCAATAACGCAAGCCGTTTACGAACCTAACCTAACCCAAAATTCGCTTATGCGTTAAGTTATGGACCCCTGGTTAAAAATTGATTTATGCGTCTGCTAAAAGTAGACAGCTGACAGCTGCTTGTTACATGCAGGAAAATATGGGAAATGGTGCGAAAATTGATTTATTTTCATCATCGCCTCTAAAATGTTCAGAGTGAGCTCAATCGCGATTGGCTTTTGATGCTTTCTCTCGGCGAATATAGAAAAGGTCACGGTAAAGACAATGTCTCATTTTTTCAGGAAAACCGTAAAACTTTGAAGAACTTCCACATTTGAGGAAAACTTCTCCCATCAGGTCTCAGATAATGAGGAATCCTCTCTAACAATGAGGAAAAAATCTCACATTTTCCCAATGGAGTCTCTCGAAGTTTTCCCTTTTTCCCTCAAAAAATGAAACATCATTTTTACCGTGGTGAGATTTTTCGTCGCTTTAATAAAAATGATGTTCGCCTTAAGAAACAAAAAGGACACAAATCACACGCCTGTAACATTCGTACGAGCCCCTTTCTCGTGTGGCGGGCAACATCGACGCGAATATCTTTCACGAGGACCTGCCGCCCCGCTCGCGGTGCGAAGGACAGCTGAGGGGCGCGCCATTGTGGCGCGGGGGCGGCACGGGGGTGGCGCCGCGGCGCGGCCCTTGGAGGGAAAGCCTCGCCTCTCACCCGCCATGATGAATGATACACGTTACTATCTCGCGCCTCGAGCCACCCTCCACCCCTCCGGTCCCGTGGACACACCCACGCGTCCACGCGCGCGCGCGCACACACACACTTACACACACACTTACACACACACACTTACACACACACACAGCGCACGTCCGTCAAACTGCGGGCACATATTCCATATTTAAGCCCATCGCACCCCAAGGGCAGACAAAGTCATCACAGTATCGCCGCCGGCCCCGACAATCGTATATAAACTTTGGCGTTGTGTGATTGAGGTTTGAAAATTTGATCGCCGCCCCCGACGACCGGGCGGGCGCTCCGCTCCCGACCGGACCTGCGGGGGGCAACAGCGCTCACACAGCCCTGTGGAGAGTCCTCTGCACCATCACCACCCCTGCGACCCTAATGTCGTTGCGGGTCGACACTGAATCAGTCTCGAGCCCCCCGCCGCCGCCCACCTTCCCCCCGCACCACCGGCCACCACCGCGGCGGGGTCGGCGGGGCCCATCACAGGGGGTGATGGGCGAGAAGGAGCGAAAGATGGGCCTTGATTGGTTGATGGATCTGTTCCGCCGAGACCCCCGGCGCCGCCGAATCGCACCCCTGCGCTCCTTCGGGGGTGGCTCGGGGGAGGAGAGGAAGGGGGGGGGGGGCTCTATATCGCTCGCAGTTTGTTTCTCGCCGGGGCTGTCGTCGCTCGCTCGCTTGACCCCGGGATCATCCCGGCAGAGCCTCTCTTGCGGACGCTCGCGGGCCCACCCGAACGGTGTGTCGGAGAACGTGTCGACGGAGCGGGGGAGGAGGAGGGTGCGCTCTCTGCGGCTCTGGCAGGGGATCAGCTGGACCCGGCGCGGGCTGGGGCTTTAAGGACCCCGCCGCCGCCGCCGCCCGGGGGCAGGAGGGGGCGGCTTATTGAGCGCAGTTTATCCGCAACACTTTTGTGCGCCAAATGCGCCGGGGTGTATATATAACGGAAGGAGCGCGACTTGCTAGATCGCTCCGGATAGGGGGGTGGGTCGGGTCGCCAGCAGCACCGCGCCCCAGCAGGTGGGGTATGGGTTGTGGGGGTGCGCGGAGGGGACCACCCAATCTATTTTTAAGCAGCGGTCCTGACGGGGCGGGGCGGGACGCCCGTGGGGGGGGAAGCCGGACACGGCTGGACGTGTCGCCATAGCGCACACGCGGGCCGGCGGCGGGGGCAGGGCAGGAGAGGGGGGACACGCCAGAGCCGCGCGGCATTGAAAAAGTAAAAGCGGGTCGTCGCGCGTCGCTGTTTAAAGCGCGCTTCGCGGGCGGCACGGCCAAGGCCGGGGAAGGTGCGGCGGTGGTGGTTACCGGTCGTGGGGGCGGGGTAGGGCCAGCAGCAGGCACCTCCCTGGCGGCGGCATGCGGCATGCATTGTTCATGTATTAGAACGCTTCTCGCAAACAGCTACCCCCCCCTTCTCCCCCGTTCCTCACTGCCCGTCCCGGGGCGGTCCCCCGGGGCCGCGCGCCGTGCCCTCGGCTGGCTGCGCCACGGACCCGGCCCGACCCGCTGGCCCTCCCCATGTCGGTCGCCGTGTTTATGGCTTGCTCGCGGCTCTGCCCGGAACCCCCCACGAGCTCGGAGCGAGCTCCCCCCGAGCGCCTGGTCCACCGTGACCCCCTACCC